CCGACGTCATAGTCGGCGACGGACAAAGCGATGGAGCGATCGCGATCGCTCCATCGCTTGGTCCGTCGCCGACTATGACGTCGGTCTAAGATAGCAAGGAGTGCCCCCCCCCCCAAACTGAAGTTTCACCTAAGCAAAACCAACGTCAAATATATGATAGAAAGGTTATCTTCAATCCGAAACAACTCCTTATTCTTACGTTTTTTTTTTCAACAGTTCATTTCGGAAGGTAGTTGTTTCTCTTTCAGTTGACAACCCGAATTGAGAGGATCATAATGTGAGAGCAATTTATTACGCCACGAAATTTCATGGTGAATATGAAAAAGGAAAGGGAATTTCATGAGAGAGCAATTTAAAATGCCACGAAACTAAATGGTCAGTATGAAAAAGGGAAAACAACATCTTTTCTGCACATACCAGAAAAGTAGGAGAGAACCTTTCCTAGGGCATGGGCATTCGACCAAAAAATTATTCCATTGAATTTTCAGATATATTTGCTTCCATGAGTGTCACAATCTCAGGGAACGTCGAGGCAAGCTTACCTGTACATCGTATTCGGCACCTTCTATTAGCTTGCAACAACGATCAACTCTCACTGCATCACCAGTATCCGGATCAATTTTATAATACCTAGATACATGGAGTTGGTACAATTAATTTGTAATTGGATGGGTCAACATCGACACAAAATAAGGAGAACCTTGAATTTCCAGCAGGTTTTCCCCAACTTCCATTATCATCTCTCCTAAGTTCGGCATCAGAGACGAAATTGCACAAATCAATCACGAATGTACCACACTCTCGATATCCCTGTGGGACTTTATTGCATATCCTAAACACAATATCTGCATCAATCCTTTGCACATATTGAACATCTACAACAAGCTGCTGGTCAAAACAAATGCAACTGGCCCAGGGCTAAGAGAGCCTTTCCAATAATAGCATTGTGAAAACTCTGAGTTGGGAAAACTTACAATGTGCAGCATGAGGGAATTTTTTGAGTGACACCACAGGTCTTCCAGGTCGTGACCAGCTTTTTAAAAATGGTTTGCTGCATTCTGTGAATTTTCTGGTAGGCTTTCTGAATACCAAGAAAGGAGTTAAAAGAGCTCAGGCGCCACACCGTTGACACCAGCGATTGGCAGAAATGAACTCGTATGAAATACTAATAGTCCTGAAGATAATGCGACATCCAATACTAGCCGCGGCCACTATTTTGCAACATCAAGCGAGCGCTAGTCAAAAACGCAAAACTTGTCACCACGAGGAATCGAACCGTGAGTCAACATTTTATCCATGTTTTATGTTCAGAGGGCCAATCAGAAAAAGTCTAGCATAGTTAT